GTGGTTTTCCCCATGTGTAACGTGTATACGAGCCAGTTTCCCTTAGAAAGTCCTCCATGAAGGCATTTCTGCCCTTAGGCAGATAGCCGTCTAGGCTTTACCATAATCACATACACACACACTCTATGCCTGAACTGAGGTAGGTCACGAAGTTACTATTTCATAGTCGAATGATGGAATATTAACTTCTGCAAACACTGAATTTAACTGTTTCATGTGCTTCCAAGGGCCCCTTTTCTGCGTTTTATACGGAACTGCGTCACTGCACCGTATAGGAAGAGGGCCCTTAAAAACTAAAGAAGACGAATTCTAGTATATTAAAATAGACTTCATAGTGTAAAAAAAACTCTAACAATAAAAATAAAAAGCGAAAGGGGAAAAAAAAAAAAAAAAAAAAAAAAAAAAAAACTTTTAAGTTTAAACATGTAAATGTAGTTCAGCAGAACATTTAAGGGCCCCCTAAACCTTCGGGCTCCTATGCGATGGCATTCCTTTCATACCCTTATTTACGCCACTGACTGTGATGCAAAAAGTGGAATTTTTGCAAAAGATGGAGTTAAGTACTACTCCTCAGTTTATAACAGAATTGTATGGAATTTTGACATGGACCATATACGATGTACTGAAGAATAATGAAAAGCTGTTAAAATTTTACAGCATTCTAACACCGGAAATCTTTGCACAATGGCAATTGGGCAGACCTCTATGCGTTCATGGCAGCAGTAGAGATGGATTTTAGCAGTGGTTGGCTGAATAGATTTAAGTATACATGGTATACAGTATATTTAAGTATACATGGTATACATTTTCTGAAAGCCTGTGGGGAAAGAACTTTCAGCAGATAAAGATGCTGCAGAGGAAAGACCCTAATTTTCCACCAGAAGCAAATGCCCTGGAGTACTGTAAAGTTTAAAAAAAAAACCTCTAGCAGAAAAATGTTTAAAACATGTTAGAAAAATATGCTTAATGTTCCTTATTTTTATATGTCTTTTTGTGTATGTCCTTATTTATTTTGCACTTTTACTCTAAATGTTACGACTTATCTTTTCTGTCCTGAAACCCACAAAATCCTTAAATTCGCACTGCCTTCCTTTGGTTCCGAGCATTGCAGATTTCTGGTCTTCTACTATGTTTGTAAGCCAAAATATCAAAAGCTAAGAAATGTGGGAAATCAACACTTTTCTTTGATAAGATTAGAATTTCAGTTTTTAAAAGAACAAGATTGACAGTCATTCTGCCTTCTTCATTACAGAAAAAGAGAAAGATATTTAGTCAGCATACTAGGCATAGTATAAAATCATAACCATCCTGCATACAAAAGGATTCCTGTATTTTTGATGAAGCTTTCGGCTGCTTGTACCAAAGTAATCATTCAATCTTGCACATTTGCGCTCTTTGAATTACTCACAAGTACATTAGAAATTATAACATTGATGATGAATTCCCCTCCCCCTTTATTCATTACCTTTTATGCTGGTATTAATTATGGAATTTTTTTATACACAGCCACTGATATTGCTGCTTCAATTAGTTTATTTTGTTCCAATAAAACTAAAGGAAAACATTATGGATTAAAATTTTAAAGCAGGAAACTCCTTTACATGACAGTTGTCAACTGATTATAGTAGTCTCTTGATTAGCAGGGGTAATATTTTGAATGCTCTCCTTAGTTAACCCCAAATCACAGTTAATCCAATAGCAGTTAAATAAATAGAGGAAAGAAAAATAATCTATTTTATAATTAACAGAAAAAATAATTTATGTTGTATTTTTTTAATAGTTTAATTTGGAGAATAATTTTATTTGGTTATGTAAATTAAATAAGTATTCAAAACAGAAAGAATATATATATATTTTATTTTTGCATTACTCTTGAATTTCAATAGGAATCAATGTGAAATAGAGAATTAATGGCTGTACGTTTAATTTACTTTCATAATTTAGCAACTTATTTTTAATAAATGTTTCAACAGTAATTTCTGTATTTCAGATTATGTACAGTTAAATTACGTACTATTGCGGATAAAAAATGTTCCTATATATTGTGACTTGTGTTTCAGAAGTTGCTATAATTTGTAGTCATTAGGATTTTTTTTAGAGGCAGAAAAGATGAAAAATAGCAAACGCCTTCCCTGGAAATTGAACCTTGGAAATCTGGAATACCGGCTTAGCGTGCAGAACCACTACATCACGAAGGATGCTAGGAAAGTGGGAGAAATACCTTATATACTCCCCTTTTTAAAGGGCGACTAGGGTTTTAGGGGTTCTAGTCATCAAATCCTGGGTGTGGAGAATCATCATCCACAACCCTTTTAGTTCGGGCGCCACTTGTAGAGTCATTAGGATTTTTTTTAGAGGCAGAAAAGATGAAAAATAGCAAATGCCTTCGCTGGGAATCGAACCACGGACCTCTGGAATACCGGCCCAGTATGCAGAACCACTACACCACGAAGGATGCTAGGAAAGTGGGAGAAATACCTTATAAATTTACATTGTTTTATGCATTTTCTTCTCTTTTTCTTTTTCCTATAAGGATTTTACTTCATTCTAATACGCCTTGAGGTAGCATTTTTTTCATTTCAAATAAACATTCAACTATTTTTTAGATAAGGCTCAGTTAATCCACAGCCCATTTAATTTGCCTGTCTGTTGGATAGCACAATCCAATAGAAATATAATAGACATGCGGTAAAATCAATGATTGTCAATATGAAATCAGGAGTGCTGTTGTAATATATTTTATTGTAATAATCATCTTTTTAAGAATAACTTTGTGAATAAATTTTAAAGTTTAAACACACTTATCTTCAATGATCTAGAGACTAATCATTAACTGGATTTATATTTATTGTACATATATAATGACAGAAAATAAGATTAAATTTACAGATGATTTGGCATATACAGCATGTAGAATTTGGTACACAGAGCTGCCACTTCTATCAGCAACAACAACTGTAACCCAGCTAGGCATCCAGTTGAATTGAGCTTGGGTGACTGATACGGATACTTCATTCCATCCAGTTTCAAGTCTAGGCAGAATTTATCAGTCTTGGTGGTGTGCTAGTGACCTATGACCAGTTGTTCTCACTGACAGAGACATTGCTTTATGCACATGCATTAGGATGCTAATCATTTGCATATCCCATTCCTACATAGACTCTCACTGTCCTAATCCAACATTGGCTCCTCACGGCCTCGCTGGTATTCAGGTTCACCTGGGCTGACTATGTTTGGATGACTATCCCTGGGGGGGGGTGTCGATTGGGACTGACTATTGCAACGCACTGGCTAGATCAATATCTAGACACCCTCATTTTCTGGTGCAAATAAACTGTCTTCACAATGACTAGAACCATCGTTTATTTGGTGATAAGTTCAGGCTTAATAGGGACTGTACTGGTCTGTTGGTTGTGAGGACGTTACATTGTCCGATTTCGAAGGTTGTCTAAAAGGGTTTGGCTCTCCTTCATCAAAGCTTAAGGACGGTTGCTGTTTTGACATATGCTTGAGTTTCTTTTTTGATTGATGTTAGCCATCTACGGTGTACTTTGTGTTTCATAATTGATGAATGAGACAAAAATTGCCCTCCAGATTTGACCGGGGAAGTTATGCCCACTTGGAAGATTTCTAGGAGTTGGAGCAAGTGTACCATGTTAAGGTTGCCTCGAACAATGCCAAGTCTGGGTGTCTCTTCCTAGTGCAATGTCCCATTTCTACAAATTTGATGTTTATTGCATGCTGCCTTGATGGTGCAGTAATTTAAGTACCTGCAGTTTATTTAACTTCTTCTTAAAGAAACTTAATAAGGCTGATGATTTAACAAGGGTAATTGTTTTTATTCAGCTTTATATTTTCTGTAGAAAACGGAAGCATTTGGTAGCATGACTTTCACCAAACACCTTTCATTTTCCCTCTGTATTAAAAAGTTTTTTGGGAGTACTTGTAAAAGCCATTTTAATTGAAAAGTTGTAATTGAAGCATTTATTTTGTAACATCCATCAAAACATAAACAATTCTTCCCTCATTCTTACCATTTTTGAAAGCTTGGAGAGAATACTTCTTTTGCTATCTGTTGTGGAGATTTATGCTGGTTGCTAAAAAAACTTGAACTGTTGAATTGCTAAAAAAATTTGTCAAGAGAGAGGTGCCAGGAGTTGCAGAATTAGAGATCTGGTGAGAAAGTGGTTGTGACGTAGCAGAAATCTGTTTCAGGTTTAAGAATTTCATAACTGATATTGCCATGTCATTAGTTTCATTATGGAACAGCTATTGTAAAAAACTTTTTAACATAGGTGTATTTGTTTAATTTATCATACATAGTTCATATTTCAAACCCAAAAAGTAATCAAGATAAAAAAAAAAATTAGGCTTGTGTTTTCTACTGAATATATTCTACTTTTGCTTTGTTTAAAATCAAGAATCTGCAAGTTGAACCATTATTAAGTCAGTAATCATTTTTAGTATAAATTCAAGTTAATCCAGGTCAACTTTTGCTAAATGAGAGTTTATTTCAAAATGCTGGTTAATGATAAAGAAATGAGTTTATCTGCTACATAAAACTTTATATGTTTTCATTGTCACTCTGCATTTTTAAAAGAAAAATATAAACTCTGTCAAAATTTATTTAGAAATAATTTATTTAAAAAACGTGACTAGCAAGGGGAAAAAGCTTTGAAATAGTGGCTGTTTAGAATTTAAAATATTTATATAAATGTCTTTAACCTGTTCTGTTGCCTTTTTATATAACTTATTTTTGATTGAATTTTAAAGTTTTTTAAATTCATGATAAAGTGAATATATTATATAATATCTCTACTACTTTAATTGAAGTTACTAGTTTGTTGTGCAGTTACCTTTAAATATTTAAATATGCATTCTATACATTCTTTTTGATAATTTAATATATGTATGTTAATGTGTGATGTGGGAAATTAATATCTATTACAAAATGTTAACTTTTTTTTTTTTTTTTTTTTTGTTTTGTTTCTTATATGTAGATGTTTTAATCAGAATGTCTCGAAAAGATAAATCATTGCATGAAAAAGTAAAACAATTTTTTAGCAAAAAAGAAGCAGTTCCTATCAATTTTGAAAAATTTCGAAAAGAGCCTTATGTTATTAGCAGTGACATTTTAAAGGTAATTTTTTTTAGTGTTTATTTATAATGTATTTAAATAACATTGATATGTTTGTAAAGTATCATTTAAGTTTTTAACCATGTTAATGTAGTATCTGGTCAGCCTAATTTTCATTTCCTTACCGGAATGTAAATTGTTAGCCGGCATAATATTGGAATGAGATAGAAAGTAGAGAGTATTTAAAGGAAGGTTTTGGAGGGTAAAATCAAAGTGTGTTCAGCCTGCTTGAAGGCTGTATTGCTAACTTTGATTTCTCTAGTGATTAATATTCTGTAGTGTCGAGTTAGTCTTGCCATTAAGCTTGTATACACCAACTTTAGTCAGAACCAACTTGCACACTAGATATACTGTGAAGTTGTTAGGCTGTATTTAGTTTTAGTTTATTCATTAAGCATGAGTTGGTATCGCCTGTTAAACTTTGTTTAGTTAAATAAAAGGTCCTTTGCGCCTTTCCCATGTATCTGCGGTACTTACAAGAAATAGTGAAAATTCACTGATTGTCTTTTAGCATTCTGATGTACCGTAATTTCCGGAAGAAAGGCTGCATCAGCATAAACGCCGCACTCGAGAAAAATGGCGGGCAAAAATTCAAATTACACAGAAACGCCGCATCAGCGTAAACACCGCAATAGATTAAATAGTGCATGACATCGTCGTGTGCCGTATAGATGCAAAATCTCAACCTAAGTCCTGATATATGACATACCAGTTAAGTAGAATGCATGAAATGAAACCATAACTCAAAAATAAATTAAAGGTAAGAAATGTGGAAAATATATTTACCTTCACATGTATACTTATATTTACCCACTAAAGAAGTCCATATTTGTAATACTCAGACTATAGTATAAAAAATGTTGCCACAACGAAATATGAAATTTAGATGACAAAAGGAAATTTTAAATTTTACTTACAAAAAGAATTACAGCAAATTATACATCATATGAAGCCATCAAAATCTGATTCTTCACTATCTGAATTAAAAAGATTTAGTAAATCCTGATTTAAGTCCGAGTCTTCCAGATCATCACATTCATCTTCTTGGTTTACAGTCTCTTTATCTAAGGATTTAATTTCAGCTTCTTTGAACCCTGCTATTATTGTCGATGTTATTACCGATTTCCACGCACTTCCTACCTACTTTGCAACTTCTTCATAAGATGCTCTACGCATTTCACCGCTTTTGGTAAACGTATGCAATCCTTCACTCATCCAACACTCCCACCGCTTTCGGACTTCAGCTTTGAAGGATTTATTACCTGACAAATCTAATGGTTGTAAGATTTTTGTCAAACCACCAGGAATTATTGCTTCGGTCGTAGACAATTTTTGACATTTGTTTTTCACTGACTTAAGCAAATGAGCCACGCAGGAATCCATATCATAACCCTTTTGGTTTGGAAAAAAGATCCCTTATGACACTGCCAAACTTTTTGTAACCACTCATGCATGATTGTTTCGCACATTCATCCATTCTCGTTTGCACAAATAATTAGGTCATTAGGAAAAATCACCCTTCGGAATAGTTTTTCGTTTTAAAAATGATCACTGGCTTTAGCTTGTCACCATTTGCGGCACAAGCTAATGCACATGTAAATGACATTCTTTCATGCCCTGTAAGCACAGATACAGTTGCACCAGTTTCATTAACAGTTCTGTTTGCAGGAGAGTTGGAAGCTAATGGCATTTCATCCATATTTATTATCTGTGATGAAAGTTTTTTTTGTTTGTTTGTTTTTTTGTCGATAATATATGTCATATGTCACATATTTTAGAAAAGATGTCTTTTTATTCTGCCAGTCCATTGGTAATTGTTGCCCGACTGTTGTTCTAGTACGCACAGAAATATTTTTTCTTTTTCTAAATCTGCTACACCAGCAAGGCCCTCATTTTAAATCATTTATGTTCATTTGTTTTTGCCATAAATTTTGCTTGTAAGCGAACTTTTACAGTCTGAAATTGCCATTCCCTTTCCTTGGTGCTCCTTTATCCAATTTGCAAGGTCATCCTCTAGATTCGGCCACCTTACAGTACCACTTCTTTTGCTTTCTTTTCTCTTGTGGCATATTTTTAGGTAGTCCTTTTTCAGTTCTCCAATGTCAGAATGCATCTGTCATCCACTTCAAACTCTCGAGCTGCTGCTCGATTTACAATGTTTAGCATGTGAAACTTACATTAAGCTTAATCCAGCAGTATAGCTTCTGTGCTGTTTAGGTGACCATTTTCAAAAAATTTACCACTCCCTTCTTACTTAAAAACTATCCAACAAATACCTGTACCCAAACTGATGAGATCTGTATCTGGCAGAATGCCAAGAAAAATCGATTCATGCTGAAGGAAAATACCTTAGAGTTCGTTATTGCGAGGCAGGTGGAGTCGTGTCCGCCTTTGAAAAAAATTGCAGAAAAGGCAGGGGTGGGAAGAGGATGGGTCCTGGAAGATTCATCGAATGGCAGAGGAGAGAGACTATTCAAACTGATGAGAATGTTGATTTGAAAGGGGGAAGAATGTTTTTGTTCTGAGATCTTATTTATGGTGAATAAGGCATGTAGGTCCGTTCAAGGGAAAGAATGTAAACAAAATAACGTTTGCAAAAAGCAACTGAGTGGCCTTTTGTGTGGGAACAGTACCAGTCTATGCACAATCACAAGGCCATCCAAACTATGTACATTGACCATCATATAAAATATTTTATTTTTAGTGCACCTAAACGCCACACCCTCGGAAAATTTAAGTTTTAAACACTTAAACACCGCTGTGTTTCTTCCGGAAATTACGGTAATTTTATGTTACCTAAGAAAGCTAGACCCTATATGTTACTTGTTAAAATCCAGTTTTTATTTTTTTAAATTTATGTACGCAAGTTAGTGTATTAATATATCCTTCATCAGAAAAGTTCAAGGGCAATTTTCTTTATTTCCGAGTTCGCAGAGCTAAAAAGGAACAACTGCTGTTTTTATGTTACCTGGTATGTATTCTTATTTGATATGACTTGGCCATGTTTCCGCACAAACTTACTAGATGTCAAGGCTATGCTTAGCAACACACCGTTCAGATTGTTGTTGCATTTGTTAAGATGACACAATGGATGCTGATTGTGAGCAAGGAGTGAACATTAAGTTCTGCGTTAAGCTTGGAAACACTCCTAGTGAAACGTAGAACATGATTAAGCAAGTTTATGGAGATGAGGCACTTTCAAGAAGTCGTGTTTCGAGTGGCACAAAAGGTTTCGTGAAGGCAGAGTTTAGTGCAAGACAGTCCCGGAGCTGATACCAATGAGTGAAATGTGTAAGGCAATTAGTGCAAGAAGACCATCATATAACTTTGTGTATGATAGCAGCAGAACTGTATTTAAATCATGATCTATGTTAAAAAGATTTTATGCGTAGATTTAGGGAAACAGAAACTTAATGCAAGAATCGTCTCTCACTCACTAAACAGATGAACAAAAAGAGGAAAGATGAAGAATTTCTGCTGAACTATTAAATAGAGCCAGACGTGATCCCAGATTTGTGTCAAAGATTATTGTATTTTTCTCTTGTTTTCATTAATGAAAAGGTGACTGAAGTGAAAGCTTCATCAAGATTGTTGCAGACATCCAATGGGCTGTAACAAATGAGCTTGCAAGCATCACAGTTGAAGATTTCCTTGCTTGCTTCCAAGACCTCTAGAAACATTGGCAGTTGTGTATAGATAGCCAAGGGGACTACTTTGATAGCTGCTAGGATCATTACTTGGTAAATGCAATTTTATATTTTTTATAACCTTTTTCTTGGAACTCTTCTGACAAAGGATATTGACGCAGTAAAATATTGTTCAATTGTTAACATTAACAGAAAATTTCAAAAACATTGCATACATGTAAGGGAATGACTTATCGTGAAATGAAGGAAGATAAGTTTGATATATATATATATATATATAAACTGAAAGTATGATAAATATTCTTGTGGTTTTCTTCTCTGACACCAGTTTTTACGTTATATCCTTCCTTCACGGTCTTACGGAGTTCGTAGATTTGGAGTGAATAACGACGACAGTTGATGAAGTATCGAAACACCTTTATTAGTCAGTATTGTCGGACCTCCAAACACATTTTACTCATCAATAAACTACTATAAACACGCTGGGACATCAGCAAACAGCCTTGTAACGTCAGGAATAACGTGGAGACGCTCCTCAAAGCCCAAGTGCAATCTGACTTTGTTGGAGTCTCGGAACTCCCATACTCTCAAATTTCCACGTAACCTTGCGATTCACTCGACACACACGAGCACAGCTCCAGACTCTTGGTTCAGCACCTGGAGCTCAAACGCTCTCTGCGATGCACTAACCCCATCCACTACGAGACTACTCGTGCACTCGCACTCGTTGCCCAGCTGTCAGCTCGATCCACTCATCAGGGATCGAGTCGATAATGAGACCACATCGATGAGAGACACATACTGACTGTCTGTGGACCAGCAAGGTTTATATAGCTTTCGGCTTGTGTTTGAGAACATTCTGGGCTAAACTGGTAAGAACTCGTTCCAGAAGGTTCCCCATCCGTCCATGGTATATCAGCTGTTTTATCGCCAAACGGGCGATTTCTCACCAAATGTGGCAACCCTGCATTCCCTTGCCATTTTATTGCAACCCTAAAACTGCTTTGCGGGGAAGCTATCTCACCACGCCTTGGCATTTCATAACAATATGAATAACTAGAAGTACAATTTCAAAATCTGTTGACTTACTGATTGAATACTAAATATTTATATGCTTCCTGATAATGAATGCAAATTCCAATATGGAGACATCAATCCATATTCTCTTGAAAATTTGGAGATCAAAGTCTAATAGTGCAGTAGAAAATGTTTAAGTATTGGTTTTAAATGAAAATGTTTTAATGAGCCTACCACTGAAAAGCAGGGATGCATGTTATAATTTATTTAGGTAAGTAATGAACATGATAAATGTCTAGAAACAGTATGAGATAAATTTTTATACCATTTTTAGTTAACTTATTTTCAATTTTTTTTAAATTTCAACATATTATTGAGCCCACCAGCAGCCGAACAGTAAAAGCGCTGAACAGTGGTAGTTCGAGTCCCAGCGAATAGGCTGGCTGCATGGGCGTTTTCGTGGTTTTCCCCATGTGTAATGTGGATACGAGCCAGTTTCCCTTAAAAAGAACCTCCACGGGGCATCCCTTCCTTTCCGTGTAGTGCGTAAGGACAGAGCATGTCAGAGCAAGTAAAAAGAAGAATATATATTATTGAGAATTTGATTCACATTTATATTATTCAGGACATTGGTTAGTTCTGATAGAAATATGAAAAGTTATTACATCTTTTGTAACACATATATAAGTGCACACTCTTACTTCACTTCATTGGACATTCATGGAAGCATTGTAGAATGCTTTTATTTGTGTTTGTCAGTTCCTCTGCTTAACAGTAAATAAATAGCTGCATTGTTACAAATAGTGATACTCTTATGCTATTGGGACCAGATTCAGAAATACATGTATAGATGTATGTGTTCATGTATGCTTGTTTATATGTATCCTCATATGTTGTAGAGGCATTAGGTTATTTTTTTGAAGCAGTAGATATGAAAAATGAGCAATGCCCTCACCAGGACTCAAATCTAGACCTCTCGAATATGCATTGAGAGCGTGCTAGCTGTTATACCATGAAGGCAGGCTGGAAGAAGGGAGAAAATACCTTATAATGCATTTTAATATACACACACATACATACATGCATTTTTGAATCCAGTCCCGATAACAGAAGAATTCCCAAACAGTATTGTGTAACCACTGAACCAGTTATCAAAATAAATCCTTTTCCTTCGCTTGTAAATTTTTCACACTGTATTTCCAAATACTTTAATTCTTATGTAGTTTTATTTAATGGCCATTTTGCATATTTAAATGGAAGATTAAATCTCTTATTTGGAAGCAACATACATACAACATTATTTTCACATCTTGGTAAATCAAATGTTTTTGACATTTTAAAAATAACTTTTTTAAAAAAAAAATTGCATTAGCACTTGGAATACCCAAAGCTCTTCTCATCATGAGATAATTATGAGCATGAATTTTCATCATTAGTATAAAAAAAAATATATAACACATGGTCTACTTGAAACTCTTCTGTTCATAAGCAAAGTATAAATGATCATCATTATGACTGCTGGCCATTGGAAAAGGGTTTGTGTTGGCAGTTTGTTGATAATGTTGGTGCCGTTTACAAAATGGGAATGTAATAATCAGCAAGAACCTATTAATCTACTGAATTTATAATTTTGTTTGTGATTAAAAAACATATCTATACTATTAGTTTATATTATTACAAGTGTGCTTATGTAATTATGTTTTAGTTACTAAAGCTTAGCTGCTTTCTTATATTATCTTTTTACCTTGTCTTATTAGAACCTCAGCTCTGAAAATCCCCAAAACTTGCGTTTAAAAACCATCAAAGAATTGTATGATATAGTATTCACGAAAAGGTTAGAAGATGTAAGTATGTGATAAATTTGTCCTAGTCCTTTGTTAAATATGCTGTAATTTAGTGAAGATTAGGTTAATAATAAGTTAAATAGGCTGTAATTAGGCATTTAATTTAACTCTTTTAAATAGAGGAAAAGATGTA